ATTCCAGACAATGAAATTCTTTTTTTTTTGCAAAAATTTCTGCAATTTTTCTACTATTCTCCCTCCCTACACTGTGAGATTTCATTCTATGCGGCTAGTTTGACCTCTTTGTTAACAAAGCTTTTGATCCCCGCATGCTTTGTATGCTCTGACATTGAATAGCTAGCTCACTGAAAGCATTGACTTGGACTTTTGCCAACTCCCCCCCCCCCCCCCCCCCGCCCTCGGCTAAATAAGTTTACGCCGTCGTCGCATGGACAGAACTTGAACTCACTTCATTAGGTGTCTCAAAGGGAAAAAAATTACGGTTTCGGATAACTACATCTTAAGCGGCCCATTTTCCTACTTAGTGCATATATATAGCAAAAATAACAATTTTAAACTTTTCGTTCCCACCATTCTTCTGTTTCATTCCTTTGGAGTTTTTTGTTGCTTTTATGTGCATTTATTTTTCATGTATCCATACATAGGATCGTGTTTTCATTTAATTATACATATGATGTCTATATTCCTATTTTTGATACATTCCAAGCATATCCTACGCTCATTTTTTTTCTTGGAAGATATTATCTTTAGCCACACTTTCTTGGAAACGTCATCAACTGCATTAATGTAACACGTGCATTGATATTAACATTATCGTATACATTGTATCTCACGTTTCCTTGTTTTTTTTTTTCACGTTCTTACCATTGAATTAAGTATTGGACTGCAATTATGAGCTAGAGTCACGTAGCGCTGCCCTTTAGCAGTTGTAAACATTTTAGTTTTTTTTTTTCAAAAGTGCATTCTCAATGCACCCATGAACTTTGATTTTTTTTCCAAATCTCGTTACTGGATTTTGAGTCAGAAACTCATGCTTTCCTTCCTAATCCGATTGTGGATGGCTTTCCACATCCAGAGCAGGCTAGGCTGAATCGGTGCAAGCAGAAAGAATGTTTATTTTGGTGTTTTGAAAGCACTGAATTTTCGAACATTTTTTTGGCAGAAATCTGCAAGGAACTGACGGCTGCAGTTGCTGCGCAGATATCATCAGATCTGTGCTCCTTTTAAGGCAGTGTCCGGACAAGGTGGAGGTTTTGGGACCCAGTACCATGCGAAAGTGGGCCCCCTCGGACTGTGCCCCGCGCAAGTGCGAGGCCATAACGTCTGACCACAAGCAAGAAATATGGCCCGAAAACGGGGAAACCAACGCCGTGGGCTTTCAATGTGGGTTTTCCGACTCAGTGTGATAACAATAATTTTTCTAGAAATAGTGTTCTTGTTCGGACACCGTATAAAGTTCGTTTTGAAAACTCTAATTTATCTCAAAAATAGAGTCTTTTCTTTCATTGCTTAGATTTGAGTTGTTTGAAAAACCTTTAGGATTTTCCGTTATGCCAACGGAAAATTTTCTTCGTGCAGTAATGTATTGATGGGTGATGCCATTTATCGAATCTACTCTGCAGCATTAAAGAACGCTACATGCACAGGCCTGTACTGCTATATTTACATGATGCAATCACATTGCTTTTCCATTCTTGCGCTTGATTATGCGTTTGATGGAACTTTGAGTCGAAGGGCAAACTAAATCGAATTTGTATTAACCAAGAATAAGATAAGTTTCCGAGAGTTTCGTAATGCAGTTGCACTATAGAATAATTTTGATGGACAGCTGCTGGACTAACTCATAAACAAGCATGGAGCAATGGCGAATTGGGATAGGGAGTAGGGGGGGGGGGGGCTCATCCGCGAAAGTGGATTGAGAATTTTTTGGAAAGTGCTTCAGATGAGTAGTGGAATCTTGCAAATGCCTTGCTGTATTAGGAGTTAGGGTAATATTTCCAGTCTCTCACGAGTCAGCTGTTAAAAAAGCTATGATCCACGCATAGCACTTGGCATAACATTTTGTCCTAAGAATCTACGACTGTAACTTACACTAAGACGGGAAAATGCTACAAACTTGCCCAAAACCTAATGTCATGGTAACATCAGAGAGCAATGTGGCTACTGACGAAAAGACGGTACCAGATTTAAAAGTTGAAGAAATGATTAGCACTCAGTACTTTTGCACCTCGCGAGATTGAAGAAATGGTTATTTTCAATAAACTTGCCTTTTGCCGGTTATATGAGGAATATGAGGAAAGGAACCCATAAGTTTTCTTAATCAGTTATCAATGACATTTGTAAGAAGTGGATGGGTATAAGTGAGTTCGTATGGTGCCTTGTTGCTACCTTTTTTTTTATATTAGAGGCAGTCGATCAGCAGAATGGACCCTTCTCGAATTTAGGTGGGTTTATGTAGTGGACCCCCCAAGTACACTGTAGCCCAAATTCCACCTGCCAATTCATGCGCTAAGTCTTGAAAAAGGCGCTTCAAAACTCCACCAGCCCCGCCCTTTTCCATTGAGTGGGCTACACTGTACTTAGGGGGTCCACTGCCTAAATCCACCAAAATTCGGGAAGGGTCTATTCTGCTGATCCACTACCTTTAAATATCTTTCGATGAGAGCTAGTGACCGCTAGAGAAAGAAACTTCGACAATTGGCGGTCAAACATCGAGCACATTTAACCATGCCTAGGCAACATTTTTTGCACATCAGACAAGATTATGGCTACCATTTGCGAAAATCTAAGGGTTTTTCTTGACAAGTGCAGTTGTTGGTGAGACTAGACATAGCGCCCTTGTTCGCGACTCACATTGGATGAGCTTTCCATTGTTTTGTCAGAACCTTCTCAGCCAGAGATCGGCTCAGATCCCATTTCTATGTTTTGCAGTTCTAGGAAGCTTGGTCTGTAGTAGTGATAAGAATAAAAAGTTAGTTTAATTCCATGAATGGCGCAAAAATTGTGCTTACACTGATAGTTGCTTGTTTGAGTGCTACATGTTTTATACTCTTGATTTTCAAGACATTATGTCTGATTTATACTTCGGCTTGAAAAGAATTGCTCTTGAAATTGTTTTCTATGGTGAAATCGCATTGCAGGTGCTTTTCAATTGATGGTAAAGTTAGTTTTGCTTTCATTTTCTACAAATTGAATTTAGTTTCTCGTATGATTTGCCCATTGTTTCTACCAGAATCACAAAGGTTCTATCCAACCCTAAGCCCTACGTCATTTAACAATGTTTACCGTTGCACATCCCAACACCAGTAAGGAAATATGTCCTTAACGCCCTCTGCTAATAAAGAATGCGTCTGCAACATCTGCGTCACCATTGTCTTCCACGAAGCCGACTGTTTTTGGCTTTATCCTGAATCAAGGCAGATAATTTGCAGAGATAGCAAACCCTAAAATAGTTCCTTCGTTTTATCTAAAGGGTATTGTTTTCATACTTATGATCTGTCCCAAAAATACCTCTATTTGTTATCACTCGCTTGCATTATAATGTCGATGCCCTTTTTTGATGGTAGAATCCGCATAGGGGGGGGGGGGGGGAGGAGTTGGAATACCATTCTTCAGTTACTGCTGCTAGCGCTCATTGACGTATTAGATAGCCAATATTGGAAGGACCCTGAGTTATATGAGTTACCTTGAAGTACCTGTTATCACTTTTTTGAACGATTTTTTGATTCTTAGAAAATGTCTTCTCCCTTATTCTTCTCAAGAATATATATGGAAAAAATGTCAGCAATTGCAGTCGTGTAGTTTTTGATTTATTTACAGTAGACAGCAAACACAGTGTTCACATAAATTGTCAAAGTCTCTTTTTGCATGTGTCCTTGCTGAATGTGGGAATATAAATCAACACAGAATGCAAAACATAATGTTGATTTATTTTGCCGAGAAAAGCAAATGATGCATGGGATTATGTCACAAAGATAGTGTTTCCGCGTTACCAGCTTCAAACGCATTTCTGTAAGATTTGTTGTCTTAGCGGTCAAAACGTTGTTGAAGCGGAGATTTTTGTTATCATAATTCACAGATACTTTCGCAGTGTTCTATTCGGCTTTTCTTGGCTAGCGGTCAAAATTAATCACCATGGAGCAGATTTTGAACTACTCACTGTAAATGGTAGTGGCAATGGCTTTATACGTGAACTTTTTTGATTAGTTCCATCACTTAGGCGAAATAACACATTCTAAAAATACATAGTGACATTGCAGTCAGCTAAAGATTTACCAGCATCTACTGCACCTACTGGGGTTGTGAGCAGGTTACAAGTTTGAATCATTGCTGACAACATTTGCGCGTAAGTGACACTTTGCGCTTGAGGCCATTCTTTTCGCGCACATGTCACAATCAAGCTGAAGTCAATTCACAAGTACGACGTCCGTTTCCGCGCAATTGTTGTTCCCACTGCAGATTAATCGTATTTACTAGACTGTAGTCTGAGCTTTCTCCTTCCTGCAAAAAACTTCCCTATTCTTCGGACAAGTCAGTTACCTCACAATGTATGTGGCATGAAAGTGTAACAGTTTGTGTTACTGCTCCTTACGGGTTTCCCTATGAAACTTGCTCTATAAGTTTCTCGATTTGTGATCGGTATTTGGGCATGCCGTGGAAAAAAGAAATAAATTATTCTAACTAGATGAAGGAAATGGGGTAAGGGTTGTTCATAAGGGTCAACTTGCCTAACCCCGTCAAAATCCATCTCTCAACATTCTAAAGTTCATGCATGGCTCGATTATTCATCTCGGATCTTCCTTCTCGTCCCATGGGACATGATTCCATGTTGACTTTTTATATTCTGCAGTTCGACAGTCAATCTTACATCTTGTCATACTTGTTTCTTCGCTTGGGGCGAGCTTCTTCTTTCGCATTTGACCCTGTATATTTCATTTGCTCTGTAAGGCCCCGAACAGACTTCACGCGATTTTATCGTCGTGACTGAATCGGAACGAGACAACTGTTACAACATCATTCCATGCCGATCAACTTGCATTTCGGCTGTGATATCCAGTCCGAAATTTTTGAATGTGAAATGAAAATGAATGGAAATGTCGGCGATTGAGTCGCGACGATCAAATCGCGTAAAGTCTGTCCGGAGCCTAAGACTTATGCTTACATTATCAATTCAGAGCAAGATGGAAATGAATTCCACCACCCTGATGATGGACGACTTTGATGATGACGTGAACTCTATCTATGCTATTTTCAAACTAATCGAAGAATCATCTGTAATCACATGGATGAGACAGAATTTTCCATATTTGCTGCCTCTCTTCTGCGTAGTCGGTATTGTAGGAAATTCCATGGCATTGCTGCTCATAAGGTAAGCGTGGATTTTCCTTTGTGGTTCTATAATTTGAGTTTTCATGAAATAAGTAGATAAAAGAACTTACTTCTGCAAATCAAATCACTACTGTATGAAAAAAGTTTTTTTTATGAGAACACCACTTGACCGTTAAATTTTGCTCTAAACTCTCGCCCAGTACCGTGCTCTTCCCCACTGGACCAATTATGCTTGGTACGGTACTGGGCGAGATCAATGACTCAGCCGCGTATAAAATGTAAATTTTTGAGCAGTTCCTTAGTTAAGGCCTCCCAAGTAGCATCCGTAAGGGAATTAGACTGAAGTATGACACTGACCATGACATGAATACGACATTGTATGATTTTTCCCTCAAATAATTGCTCTGGCATTTTTTTAAACCAAATAATCACTACTTACACGACAAGATCAATAAATGGAAAATCGTTGCAGGACAAATTTTTGGCTTCGACGGCTCACATCAAATGTTTACCTAAGCACTTTATCCATATCTAGCTGTGTTTTTCTATTTACGGTAAGTGTTGATTTTGAAAACACAAAACATATTTTATGTGCTCCAATATATCTCAATAATTTTTTTATAGGTAATAGTCTCATGGGTAGACGCTGTGTATCGACTACACATTTACAGGGAATCAGAAATTGGATGCAAGGTATTCACGTTCCTTGCACATCTCTCAGACTTCGTTTGCGTTTGGATGATATCGTGGATATCATGTGATCGAATGGTTGTGCTCTACAGACCAGGTTTTGTGATTTCCTTTAATTTCCTTAGTGATTTGGCGTTTTTGATGTATATTCTTTCAGCCTTTCGAAAATGGGTTTGTACAAAGAAATTTGCTCGAAATTGGATGATAGCTACTTTGGTGACATCGGTAGTATTCTATAGTTGGGTATTTATGTTTGCGGGATTGGAGGAATCCGGCAACAAGGATGAGCATTTTTGCGGTTTGAGCAGTAAAGCTCAGGTGTTTGGGTGAGTCATTTGAATTATCTCATCTGGTTTTGTAGATCTGGAAAAAATTAGAAAATTCCATGTTTCGCGAAGTTGAAGTGATTTTTTTGGTAAAGAGTAGGTCAGAAAACCATTTGCACCCACTCAATAACTGCATAGCTAGTTTCTGGCAAATCAGAGCCGCAGACATGTGTGTAAGCGCGTCTATCGCTGCGGCGCGGTTCCGGCGCTTTCGAGCCTCAGAGTAAAGAATCAATAAGACACTGTTATCGTCGACTCTAAAAATCGTGACGACGGTCTGCAGTGCGGCCAGTGCGCGCCGCACGGCACTGCCGCTTTATCGTAGGACAATCTTGCTTCTCTGCAGTGTAGGCTCCCTGCGGTAGTCATGAAAGTTCCTGCAAGCAAAAAAGATGCAAAAAGAAAAAGAAAAACCACAAGAACTCACCTTCTCCACGTAATTTGGGCGAATCACTAGGTGGCAGTGCCGTGCGGCGCGCACTGGACGCACTGCAGACCGTCGTCACGATTTTTAGAGTCGACGATACAATACACTTTACACTTTGTGTACGTAACACAATTTTGAAGATCTTTCTTCTTTCAGTTGTCACCTTTTATTTTGCCCGCATTTCAAAAAGAATACGATAAGAATTCCAAATTCAAAATGATAAGAATTCAAATCACATAAAAGTTTATTGCTCTTTGGGATTTACATTTACTTATTTGCGCTACTCAAAGCTTGCCATTTTCAGTTATCCGATTGCTGACCACTACTTCCTATTCACCTTGCTTGATACAGCCATTTGCACACTCTTTCCTGCAATTCTTATCATGTTCGTAAACTCCTTGTCCATCTATCGCTATCGACAATGTATGAGAATTTACTCTTCGGGTGTACTACGAGTACGATTTGATCGAGCATCGAATGGCAATCCGATTCCTCCATATGTAAGTTCTTTTTACAAGATGCATTTGGAATCTGTTTCTATGAAAAGGACTTTTAGGAGGAAACAACGGCAAAGAAATTGTTGCTCAGTCAGACACATACGAATACGCATATGTCAACACAGTCGAATCGCTCAGCATGTGGAAAATTGCGGTCATCCGATTTACAGTTGAGCAGGACATTACTGATTGTTACGAGGTAGGTTCTGAAACAATTTGTAAATGCTTCAAACGGAGTAAGAAAGAACAATGCTCGTGCTGTCGCTACGTGTGCCCTTTTTGCCTCCTTTAAAGGCAGCGTCCGGGCAAAATTTCGCCTCTCATGTTTCTGCCATAGGGCCTTTCCGTGGCCCTGATTACAGTTGTAAAGTCCAAATTGTTCAAAACTCCCAAAAAACCCGGTTCTTGGGGACCCCCTCTTCAAGGAGCGAGTTTCGAATTGCTCGTCCCCATCGTCATGCCAGCGGAAGGAGCTGCAATTGCACGGATGCAGTTGCATTGCTGTGTGCAGTGCAACTGCAATGCAACTGCAATGCAACTGAAATGCAACTGCAATGCAACCGCACACCTGCGTAAGCACTCGTCCTCAGGGGTGGTTTGTGATACGAAGGGGCGGCTTGTGATACGTATCACAGGCCCGTATCTCCTTTTAGAGGGCATGTCAAAGGATTGGACCAACGCAGATCGGATACTCATGGGCCTCTCTTTACAACTATGTGCTAATCTGGGTGATGGATCTTGCCTGGACGCTGTCTCTAAGCATCAAGGCTGCGCGCAGCAGCGACCGCAGCTTGCGCATTGTCTACGTCTATGACCCAGTGGGAGGAGGGGGGGGGGGAGGGGGAGGGATAAAAATGGGTCGCAGATTTTTGAAGGGTTCATACAGGTTGAAGTTCGTGTAATAATTGTGACTTTTAAAACATCCAATAGTCTTTGAATATTGTAAAAATAAAATTGGCTTTGCAAAACCCTTCTTCACGACGGTTTATTGTTACAAACTCAAAATCAGAATAATGGTGAATTTCACTCAAAAAATATCTAAAGGGCACGGCTGACATACTCTTCTGAGAAAATTTTTTTGCTTTTTTCCCCTCTCCCTACTCAAAAAAATGAAAATTCGAGACTGCTGTTGCGATAATCTTCGTCGTTATCACTTAGTGCACAATTTCTACTCACCATGCATGATTTTTTATCCTTCCCTAAATTTTCACTTTCAGTACATTCGTCCTGCTCAATGTTCCCAGCTATATGATGCGTATAATACAGTACATTTTCGAACCACGTACGCAAATCTTCCATTTCGTACATTATCTCTCCTATCTTGTCTACTATCTTCATCATGCTGTTCTCTTCTACATGTATATATTCTGGAGGTGAGTTTCTTAATTTTGAATTCGACTCTGTTTTCCATGTTTTCAAAAAAGTAAAATTTTAGTCCACAAATGAAGAAACAACTCAAACCTACTGCGATGCGACTACTGGAATGCTACTGCTTCAAGACAGTTCCAGAATTTGGCCATAGATCCACATCACTTCAAGCTTTCAATTAGAATTTCGTAGACGATAGTTATACACTTGCCACAGCCATTACGCTTGATCTCTAACTTTTTACATGTATAGCTCAACATCGATGTGTAATATATTCATTTGTGATATTTGCTCTTCTCCGCTTTCGGGTATCTGATTCTCGTCGCGAAATAATAAAGTTTACAAGATTGATGTTTTGTCCGAATTACTGAGGTAGTCTTGACAGATACTTCATAAAATCTGCGCAGCAGTACTTTGTTTAAATTTGTGCATAATGCAAATGATCTTTCTTCTCAACAATTATGAGGCAAGAAAACTCCTTTGCGCACTTACATTATTAACAAGTTAGTACTTGTGCGGTACCAAATCTCTGATTATTCACTGCATCGGATTTGAAAAATAAATAAGTTTGAGCCTGTAATGTGTGAGGAGTGTCTTGGAGTCTTCTAGTTTCAGAATGGATGATATGTACCTCATCAGCATTTTTCCATAGTCGACCACAATTTTACTGGATAGCTTTTTTGACCTGACTAATAAGGATAAGATTTTTTAGCAGCCTCATCCTTTAGGGATTTTTTGACTACTTCGCATGAAGCGGTCCCAAAGTCAAAATGGTGCATTTGCGTCCATTTGGTTGATTAGATTATATGAAAAGTGAATTTACATCAAACTTGCATGCCCTTACAACGGCGGAAGGCGTGACCATTGAGAATCCTCGAAAAGTGAACGGGAACAATCCAACTACTTATCGGTAAAATCAGACAAGTTCCTTTCCTGTCTGTAATGAAAATTTCACTTTCTAAAAGTGATTGTTAGCTGAAGCGGAACTAGGAATCAGTAAAAAAAAAGGATGTGTTGATTACCAGTTTACTGGAGATCGGAACGACAAGGATATTGAAGTTCAGAAGAAATAAGAAGAAGAAATATCCACACTGTGGGAAGAATGAAAGACTGAAAATTAACAAACTAAGGAAGGATCAGTCACAATCGCGATCTGAAACGGAATGCTATAGCATGGATGCGTCTTGTTGAGCTGGTTCAATTCCGTATCCCCAAATTCTCAGCACCCAAACAATTTCTTACAAGGCTAATATGAATTTGTTAAAATTTTAGAAATAGAAATCATTTTGATTATTTACAAGTATAAACAAGTCACCTGCACATTTAAATGACCCATGTAAGTACTTTCAAAAGTTTCGCGACCCATACTGGGAGGGAGGGAGGGCAGATAAGGCTGCGTTCATACTGATTCGGAAGTGAGGGAACAGTTCCGGAACACGGCTTGAAATGAATGTACTGTTCCCGGACTTCGAATCAGTACGAATGCAACCTAGATCTTATATATAAAGCTGAATGTCTGTTTGTATGTATGTATGTATGTCTGTATGTATGTCTGTATGTATGTCTGTACGTATGTTCCGAATAGAAAATTCCATTTCTGAACCGATCCGGACCAAACTTGGCACACATACACTACGGGCCCCGGCGGGTGTCATAGGCTACTTTTCGTCATCGATCGATATCGATTTTATCGATTTTTATCGATTTTTTTGCTGAGTTCACCTACGGGGCTGGGAGTTGGCACAGGGGGGTAATCGAGCATGGGGATTCCGAATACAATATTGGTTTTCAGGATTATCGATTGCTTTTATCGATTTTATCGATTTTTTTGCAAAGTTTGAGCTACGGGGCTGGGAGTTGGCACAGGGGGGGGTAATCGAGCATGGGGATTCCGAATACAATATTGGTTTTCAGGATTATCGATTACTTTTATCGATTTTATCGATTTTTTTGCTGAGTTCACCTACGGGGCTGGGAGTTCGCACAGGGGGGTAATCGAGCATGGGGATTCCGAATACAATATTGGTTTTCGGGATTATCGATTACTTTTATCGATTTTATCGATTTTTTGCAAAGTTTGAGCTAGGGGGCTGGGAGTTGGCACAGGGGGGTAATCGAGCATGCTGATCACTCCCAAGGGGGGTGATCAGCATGCTCGATTACACCCCTGTGCCAAATTACAGACCCCTAGCTCAAATTTTCAAAAAATCGATAAAATCGATAAAAGTAATGGACGATCTTGAAAACTAATATTGTATTCGTAATCTGCATGCTCGATTACCCCCCTGTGCAAACTCCCAGCCCCGCAGGTCAAACTTTGCAAAAAAATCGATAAAATCGATAAAAGTAATGGACGATCCTGAAAACTAATATTGTGTTCGTAATCAGCATGCTCGATTACCCCCTGTGCAAAATCCCAGCCTCGCATGTCAAAATTTACAAAAAATCGATAAAATCAATAAAAGTAATCGATAATTCTGAAAACTAATATTGTATTCGGAATCCCCATGCTCACTTCCCCCCTGTGCCAACTCCTAGCCCTGTAGGTGAACTCTGCAAAAAAATCGATAAAAGTCGGTAAAATCGACATCGATCGATAACGAAAAGTGGACTGTGACACCCGCCGGGGCCCGAAGTGTATGTGTGCCAAGTTTGGTCCGGATACGGCGGAGCCGGGTAAGCCAGCTAGTAAAGGATAAAGGATTCGGCGTCTTCAATACCCTTTGAGGGCATGCGCCGAACGCACACACTAACTTCATAGTCGAAGAGGCAATTGTATGCGTGCGAGCCTATTACAGTGACTTGCGGGGGCCAGCCGTTACCAAGTCAGTGCTTTTATCCTCCCAGATTACTCTGGTACCAATTTACCAGCCCCGGAGGGTAGAGGGCTTGGTTGGCCCAGGGGCGGGGATCGAACCTGCGTCCGATCTGGTCATAGCGTCGCCTCATACCACTACGCCACTCGTCCCCGAATGCAACCTAAGAAGGGTAGATTTGAGTCAGCTCGCAAAATCGCATCTAATGGTACTTCTTTTCATATCATTACGACATGGGATCCTTCCATTCTAAGTATAGGTTATTAGACAAAACAATTATTTTTCCTGTGGTGCCGAAGCTTATAACCTAGCGTGCCGGAGGTGAATCTACAAGTTAACTCATCTTACTACCAGATCGCAAGAGGAATATGAAAAAGTGTAACGACAGAGGAGACAAGCGCAAGTGAAAAAGATGTAAAATTTGCTCCTTACAATCTAGCTTTATAAAATGCGATTCATAGACCACTTTTGCACCTACAGGGGTATTATTTCTCTAGCATGGTGCAATATAATAAAAGAAAAAGAAAAACAGAGTAATTCTAATTCATTCTAATTTCCGTTTTGATCCTTTCACTATACGGAAATTAGATTGACATACGGCCTTCCCCGGATCTCATCAGTAGTGAAGGAAGACCGTAGGAGTAAAAATAAAAAGAGAAAAAAGAAAAACTAACCTAGAACTTCCTTATAACAAGTAGTTAATCCAAGTGTTAGAGTAATGTGGTCTATAAAAAAGTAAGTTAATTTTATAGGAAAATGTAGATATAAATATAAATATAAATTACTCAAAAAATCTCTCAGAGAAGGGGGACGAATAAGGATGTTGATAAATATGAATTGAATCAACCGCCTGTTTTGTGTCTACGAGATGTGGTTGTTGCCACGTAATTTTCATTTATTGATGCTAATGTTGTCAGTTGCTGACTATCAACTATCTCGATACTTGCTGATCAGAAAAGTGATCTGGTTTTAGAGCCATTTTCACAGATGTGATGCGCACTTCAGTAGGTAGAATTGGTTGTGGTACTTCTCAGTGGGAACAGAATATGCACGGGTGATGTTGAACGGAAGAGGGCTGCTAGCGGTATGGATATTCGCCGAGATCCCTTCGATACTTCTGGAGACTTCGTCTTGCTTCAGCTGCCTCCAGTATCTGCGCCTCCCTGTACTTCCGAAAATCTTCTGCGAAGCGGCTTCAGGTGGTGTTCGTTACCACCAGTCCGAGGTGGGCTGCATTTGGATCCTCCAAAGCTCCTGTTCTTTTAACTAAATCCTTGGTGGTTTTCGAGATGCGTTCCAAATTCTTCTCATGAATGGTTGAAGCTCATTCTCCGCAGGCTCGCAATCTTTCCAGAAGCAGTCATGCGTTGGCACCTCCGCGATAGGTCAGTTCCTTCCTTCTCGTGATGCTATGCTAGATCTTCTCCAGCCGATTGCATCGTAGTGTTGTTCGAGGAAGACGGTGAATGGGCCTACAATAAAGAGATTAAACCACCCAGAGAGCGACCTCTATCTTGGTTGGTGAGAATGTGGTCGATTTAGGCGTAGATCGTCCCTTTGGCGATTCCTAGGTCCACCTGCTGCGTTGTGTTTCTTCATGAGGATGGGATTTTTATGAAAAAACATGCGGTCATGCAGGAGAAAAGCCTAAGCTCCCGGGCAGACTTCACGCGATTTGATCGTCGCGACTGAATCGCGACGAGATAACTGTTACAACATCATTCCATGCCGATCAACTTGCATTCGGTTGTGGTACTTTTCCAGCCCGAAATTTTTGAATGTGAAATGAAAATGAATGGAAACCTTGGCGATTAGATCGCGACGATTAAAGGCAGCGGACAGGCAAAATGGACCCCTGTCAGATTTTGGTAGTTTCCGGTAGTGGACCCCCCAAGTACACCGTAGCCCCAACCCCACATTCCAATTCATGCGCTAAGTCCTGAAAAAAGCGCTTCAAAACTCCACCAGCCCCGCCCACTTGCATTGAGTGGGCGTTATTGGTAGAAGTTTGAAGCGCTTTTTTCAGGACTTAGCGCATCAATTGGAAGTTGGGGTTGGGGCTACGGTGTACTTGGGGGGTCCACTACCCGAAACTACCAAAATCTGACAGGGGTACATTTTGCCTGTCCACTGCCTTTAAGTCGCGTGAAGTCTGTCCGGGGCCTAACGAAAAAATTGCCGTTTTCATTCCTAAGCCTATATCCAAACTTCTCGATTCTATATTCCTCTTCTAGTGGTTCCGATTTTCGCGTTGAAGTCGCCCACATGTTTTAAAGGTCTCTTTGAGAACGACCTCTTTCACGCTCTCATAGGAAGCATCCATTCCCAGTACATCTGCTAATGTTGGAGGATAATAGTTGATGATGCTGATGGTCTTGAAGCTGAGGTAGCGGATGCAGGACGGCCAGTCGAGGTGATAGAATCTCATGCGAGTTGACAGCTTGGACAATAGATTGATGGACAACAAAGTCAATACCACTTTTCGTGAGATAATTTTTTGATGACGTCCCAACACTCAACTGTCGTACGTCCTTTTTTCTGGCCTTGGTTTCTGTAGAGCAACAAGTACTTGACAAGCTTTGCAGCATCGAGAAGAGTGTAAAGTTTGGCGCTCAATGAGATGCTCAGGCGTTGTGAGTGCGACATGAGACAGTCTTCATTACATGTCAGCCCAGATGCCGTTTTTGCCCGAATCATTTGGCGCCCTGCAACCTGACGTCGAATTTGCTACCACTCGGGGTTTAGGTATGAAAGCAGAATTTTTTTCAAATCTTGGAGGAGTAAATGACTTTTTCTCAACGAAACCAGTGCTCTTGCCTTCCTGAGGGGGGGATGGCCGATCCTGAGATGTGGACTAGGTTCCGCCAGCGTCCTATCTATAGCCAGACGGCGAACGATCTGGCGCGGTCCTCCTTTGCCATCCGGCAAGGTCGAAGGCAGGAAACGTCTAACTCCTTCACAGCTCTGAAGACTCTATTGTCAGAGAATACACTCGACTGTATCTATCTACAATTCAAACACTGTGTCACCCCCATTCTAGCTGTGCAGTTAATGGATTTCAAGGTCCTAAGGAATACGACCGGCCTCAAGCACCACCAATGCAGTGCGCTGGGCTTTGAGCCGCAGTTATGTTTATATTTTATTTATTTAATTATTTATCTACTCATAACCAACGGTCCACAATGCAAAAATCGTGATGATTTTTCATCAGTTGTGAATGTAAACGTGCTTCGGGATATCGCTCCTTTGATGACGAAGGTCTCCATGACTTCTTGCCAGCTGCTAGCTCTTTCGAGTCCAATAGGTGACTACTCTCTTGACTTGAATCCTTCACCCTGGTTGTCTTGCTTCGAATGAACAACATTATGTTTAGAATCTTTATTATATATATAGAAGGTAAAGGGATGGAAGGAAACCGCCGGTCACCCGATTAGGCACAACCTATCTGAAATAGTTGGGCACCGCTCAGTTGGAGATGAGAACTGTTGGGCCATCTTTTAGTCTGCGTTGACATTTCCAAAGATGGGGAGTTCGGTCTGGATTCGCTGAATCCGTCTTTGACTTCCGTACAAGGATCACCGGTAGACCAGCACGGTTTCTTCCATTGGATCCTCCTCTTCTATCCTTGATTGTTGGGGCAGGTAGAGCTAAAAGCTAGCTGACCAGCGATCATGGGAAGGTTGAAGATGGGTAGGGGAACGAAATCCGCCAGTTTTAGCCCGCCTTCGCTAGCAACTGGTCCTTTTGCTATATTGCTGCATGTCATTAGGACCAGCAGTCCGCGGGGGCGGTTCAAACTGGCGGTTCGTTCCCCTGCCCATTCTCAGACATTCGTGGTTAAGTTCCGCTGGTGAAAAAGTTGTATCCCGACGGAATGAGTGCGGGACACAAGTAAAATGATTCGCGAGAAAACCGGGACTCCTGCATTTTATTCGGGATAATGCTGCGCGACACACGCGGTTGTCCTGAAATGTTTTCTACTGAGAAAACCTGGAGCTCTTGCGGGAGACCCGATAATGTCGCGATCCAATCACCGGCGGTACTCCCGCTCTAGGTTATCTAGATTAGATCAATCTAGATAAGTTGAGGAGCATCATATCTCGTTCCCAGGAGTGGTTTGGACTTCTTCACCCCCTTGAGGGTGTGGGCCGATCCCTGCAGCAGTGCAACGCTGGGGCGACCCGTGATGAGGTGCGAGCAAGCCCGCAACCTCATCCGGTTCCAAAAATCAAATAACCTTAACGAGACTCATTCGAGACTCTATCGAAGGTTAATTCGATAAGAACAGAAACTAAACTTTGATCTTAGCCAAAAGGCCGAGAAGCGATGCCTTACCGAGCTGGCAGCGGTGCCACCTCAGCCAGTGAGTCGGACTCATCGCGGGTCAGCTAGCGCTCACTATCTCACTGTTGAGAGCGCAGGGACAGGTGAACACACCTATGCTGCCAGTAGGTGAAAGGTGTTTTCTAGCATCAATACAGATCCGGATGTTTTGCATTTACTTTCTTAGAGCTCAAAAAGAAGCCCTAGAGGCGATATTCTCCCGTGTATAAAGCGTTAACTAAAGCAGTTATAGGTAAATTGAAAACAGTTCGCGTCTCCCGACTCCCGCTTCATTTTTACTGTCGGGATAATTTCGAAACTCGGGAGAATTCCGGGTGTCGCGCAAGACCACCGATTTTCTCGCGATTTCTCATTTTGTGGGCGGATCTCCTTAACCACGAATGTCTGAGTTGAAGACGAAAGTAAGTCAAAAGCACCCGCCATACTTGATCCGCTTAGTCCACTTGATCCGCTTGATCCGCTTCGCTATTGGTCAGTTCACTGAAGTGACCAATGACGAAGCGGATCAAGCGGATCAAGCGGATCAAGTATGGGTTTGCCAAAGGTGTGCTTGCCTCAAAGGAATGGCGGTCCTGGCGCGACAGCTACAGTCGTCAACAATGGAGCACAGATTCCTTCACAAGGCTGCAGGCTCAATTATTTGCCTGTAATGTTGTTTTTTTGTTAAAGTCTCCTTGCTTTACCCGTAGATGCGCTATACTTCGGATTGTTTGATTTGTAAACACACCATGGCCTTTCGATTTGTGTTTTTCATTTCTTTTGCGTTAGAATTCTGTGTTTATCATACGAGACGTATCTTACAGAATGTTTCGAAACTTAGCCTGATTTAACGGGGTTCTGATTCTAGCCGATATTGAAAATGTGTGTTGCAGTAATCAGCTGGGTCCTCCAAAGCCATGTCTTCCGACATATATGCAGAATGTATGCTTTACAATGAAATACTGAAAAGAAACCCAAAGTCGATAAAGGGAGTGTTCAGTGCTTCGAAAATTGCCGAAATCAAGGAATTTGTAAGAAATTGGTAGCGTTATTGTTTTTCATTCAATTCTCATGTTTAGATTACCAATAACGTCGACATCCCGGCACTGAAAGAATGTGCAGAAGTTTACATCACTTCTCGAAAGCGGCCATCTTCAACTCCTAAAGGTCCAGCAGCTAAGAAAAAAGCACCTGCCGACAGCTCATCAGATTCTTCTTCAGACAACGAAGCTACAAAAAAGGCGGTGGTGAGGTTTTTGTGATTTTAAGCCTTTGTTTGCATTCTTATTCGTTTTTTCGTTTGTGCCGTTTGTCTTCTTTGCGAGTTGCGGAAGATTTTGTATGTATACAACTCTTGATTTTGGCTGCTATCTATGGCTGCGCTTAGGTATTGTGCTATTTTTGTTTGTCATAACTAAGAAAATGCACTGCGAAATGCAGTCTTAGCAGAAATAAAATGGCTAGATAGATCAGGATACCGTTTCTTGTCTTCAAATTGTATGTGAAGGTACCCAATGGGAAGCCTGCTATAAATGGGCTAAAGCGGCAAGCCTCATCTGACTCATCATCATCGTCTGATTCGGACAGTGACAAACCCGCTGCTAAGAAATCACCAGTGAAGGTGAGTTTTTTCTGCTGATGAGTTGAGACGTCAAGCAATTATCCAGGCAGCAACACCTGTAGCGGCTACAGCAGCGTCAAAGAAGAAATCTTCGTCTTCAAGCTCAGATTCGGACTCGGACGCGCAACCGGCAGTCAAGGTGAAGTCGTTTATGTTGGTAATATCAGTAGCATTGAGCTGGTTTTTGTAAAAGTGTCAATTGAAGCTGAATGTCTACAAATTCTGATATCAATGATTCTCCTCTTAGCAAACAGCTCGCTGTTGTCCAGCGTCATCCAGTCTAATCTTTTATATGCAGAAAACTCCTGCAAAACCCGCTGCCAAGCAAACGGTCACTGCAAGTGCGCAAAAGAAGGCAGCATCATCGTCAAGTGACTCGGACTCAGATGAGGAAGACGCTGCTGGAAAGGTGCAGTTTCTTTAAAAAATCTTTGCGTATAAACACAACCGAGTTTTCAATTGAGTTTTTTTTCACAGTTGTTCGTCATCCATTACGCATTTTGAATGTGATCCATTCCATTCCGGTCTTGTTTCTGTTCAAAAATTTCTGTCTCTATGAGAGGTTCAAATTTACAATGTTGTTACGCTCATGACCTCTTTGCATGAGGCTGGAACGCATTTTTTCCGCTCTCTAGTCGCTGAGTGCTTCTTTCATATTTTTTGCGATTCTTAGGTCTTGAAGTATTGGAGCTGCACTGCAAACAGCTAGCTAGAGGCCGCATTCTTCAAGAATGTTGTTCGTACTGAATTTTATCGCTTCAACTTCTAGGGCCGCATGCACTAACCTCCCCGCTGGGGAGGGGATCGCAGCTTAAAAGAAAGCTTTATATTTCGAAACTCCAGATACCTGGATTTCACGTTGTGTACCTATCCGTAAGTATTCCTACTACCCTTTACTATAAACATGTTGAAGAGGAGCGAGAAGCTGTGCGAATCGCATTTTCCAGCTTTTGTATGATCCCTGATGATCCTCGGCGCTTTTCTTTGAAGTCATTTTCTTTCTCCGAACTTAACGAAAACTTTCCAAAGCTGTACTGAACATCTAACACAACAGTGTTAAGCATATTGCTGATGAGAACAAATGAGTTTTTGAAAAGTGGAATTTTTCGGTAAACCTCAAATTTCGACCTGTGGATCATCGAAAATTTCATGACTTCAAAACATCATTTGTTCTTATCACGAACATGCTTAGCACTGTCGGGTTGGATAATCTGCACAACTTTGGAGGTTTTTCGTTAACTTCGGAGAAAGAAAAATGACTTTAAAGAAAAGCGCCGGGGATCATCAGGGATCATACGAAAGCTGGAAAATGTGGTTTGTACAGCTTCTCGCTCCTGTCCAACATTTTCATAGTGAAGGATAGTAGGAATACTTACGGATAGGCACACATCGTGAAATCCAGGTATCTGGAGTTTCGAAATATAAAGCTTTCTTTTAAGCTGCGATCCCCTCCCCGCGGGGATGTTAGTGCATGCGGCCCCTAATCATTCTTGCTTTTCTGTCTAGTCTCGATGATTTGTTGGCGCATTCCGATCAGCATAATCAAAGTAATCCATGAATGCTGTGAAGTCTTGCTCTTACCAGGTCACAGGGCTGCCTTGTTGTGCGCTAGCCTTATTTCTTCTTAATCTACTTTTGTCAATATCTATACAGTCAGAGCTTCTTCCAGAAAGCTCCTGCAAAACCAGTTTCTGCAAAATCGTCCTTGGCGAAACCTGGCCCCAAGCCAGTTGTCTTAGCTCAGAAGAAAGACTCCTCTTCGAGTGACTCCGATTCAGACGACGATGACGAACCGCAAGCTAAGGTGGTGAAGGTTCTACATAAAGTTATTTTCCTATAAATTAAGATGATGGCTCTCGCCTGCTAGACTATACTATAAAGCACATCATACTTGAAAAAGCATTTTAATTTTGTTTTTGTCAAATTCAGAAGCCTCCTATGAAGTCTGCTGTTCAAAAATTCGCTGTTCAAAAAACACCTATTACGAAGAAGAAGGAAAGTTCATCTAGCGATTCAGACTCCGACGACGAAGAATCTCCTAAGGTGCTGCTTTTTCGAAAGTCACATTTTTGATGAGATTCTACTTTTTATTATTGATATAATGTACAGAAGCCGGTCGTTAAAGTCATACCAAAACCTGCACCTACAACAGCCAAAAAAGCTGAAACATCCAGCAGCGATTCGGATTCTGATGATGAGCCGCCTGCAAAGGTAATAGCACGCGTTTTTTTGTTTCACTAGCCCAGTCGTTTCTGGTTTCATTCTCATCTCTTGGATGAGCATATTCAGAAAGCTCCTGCTAAAGCTACAACTGCGCCAAAGCCATCTATCGCCGCTGCAAAAACGACATCATCTTCCAGTGATTCTGATACGGATGACGAAACAGCTGCAAAGGTATTCAATGCATACAGCTTATATCGTTCAATGCTGAAAGCGCAGTTTTTCCAGCCAACATTGCAAGCCAAGAAGCCAACACCAGCACAGAAGGCTACCCCTTCCACGCAGAAAAATGCTACTTCATCATCATCCAGTGACTCTGATTCGGACGATGAAGCTCCTGCCAAGGTTACATATCATGGTTTTCTTTCGGCAGTAACAAAAGCTGACTTTTTTGTGCAGTGCCTTTCAAAAAATCCCTTTTTAGAAACCTGTTCCAAAGGTGGCTCTAGCTAAGGCAACACCACTTGCGAAAAAAGCCAAGTCTTCATCAAGTGATTCGGACTCGGATGAGAATAATGCCAAGGTTGGTTAGTCTTGCAGCTTTGTCGATTCATCGACTGAAAGTGTCTAACTGTATGTACTCAGAAAAAACCGGCTGCTGCTCCCGCAAAGAGCTCTACGAAGCCGCCTACGAAAGCTGAGAGTTCTTCGAGTGACTCAGATTCAGACGATGATGAGGCGGTGGCCAAGGTAGTCTCATTGCTCTCACCGTTGTCTACTTGCTTGAATCATTCGCTCACCATTTCAGAAAGGGCCTGCCAAACCTGTTGTCAACTTGTCGGTTTCAAAACCTGCTGTCAAGTTGCCAGTTTCATCAGCAAAAAAGGCTTCCTCCTCTTCATCCAGTAGTTCGGATTCAGATTCGGATAAGACAAAGGTTTGTTGTAGCGCTTTATCGAAGAGAAAGGCATATAATTTGTAGAAAACTCCTGTAAAGACGGCAGCGTCGGTGAAGCCGGCCGTCTCATCTGCTAAAAAAGCAGCTTCATCATCAAGTGATACAGACTCCGAGGATAACTCAAAGGTTGTCTATCATGCAGCATACATCTCTATTTCAAAGTGGTTGATTTAGAGCATTCCTGCGAAATTGGTGCCTAAAGCAACATCCACACCGTTTGTTAAGAAGGCTTCAAGTTCGTCTAGCGACTCTGATTCCGAAGAAGAGAAAAAAACCAAAGTACTTACTGATTCGCTAGTTATCCTACCTTCAAATGATTTTTCAGACACCAGCTAAGCCTACTGCGAAGCCCACTGCTTCTGCAGCAAAGAAAGAAGATTCCACTTCTAGTGATTCTGATTCGGACGATGAAAAGAAGAAGAAAGTTCCAGCAGTCAGTTTTCGGTATCATTTGGATGAATGGAAGTGGAAGTTATGATTATTTTGTAGAAAATCGCGGCAAAACCTGTCACTCCTATAAATACCAAGAAAGCTGCTTCATCGTCATCTAGCGATTCTGATTCCTCGGATGAGACAGCGAAGGTTTTTTCTTAATTTTTCTATCAACTTAAATGCGAGCTCTCTTTTCAAGAAAACACCTGCCAAGCCAATAACGAAGTCTTTGACATCAGCAGCAAAGCCAACAACGAAGTCTTTAACGCCAGCGGCAAAGAAAAATGCTTCTTCGTCTAGCGACTCTGACTCGGATGACTCGGATGACCAAGCTGCTAAGGCAAGATTCACCTATGAATCTTTTCATTAATGGGGGGGGGGGGGGGCAGAAAAATCAGTTATCCAAAAGTCAAACTATCAATTCAGAAAACTCCTCTGAAACCAGTTGCGAAGGTCACCCCAGCGAAGACGCCATTGTCACTGGCGAAAACGACACCGGCAGCAAAGAAGGACTCCTCATCGTCCAGCAGCGATTCTGATTCTGATGAGCCTAAGGTTTTTTCTCTTCTTTCCATATCTTCTCACTTATTAGGCGTTCTTTAACGCTTATTTTTTCATTTTTGAAAGTTCATAGACATCATTGCATTCTAATCTTTTTCCATGTGCTTTCTCTTGTTCTGCATGCTGATATTTCTTTCAGAATGAATTTGATAATTCAGAAAACGGTTACACCAAAACCTGCGGCTAAAACAAAATCGGCTGCCACGACTCCAGCTGCTGTGAAAAAACCGGATACGTCTTCAAGCGATTCTGATTCTGATGCTAAGCCTCAAGCGAAGGTTTGCTTACATGCTATTTTATCTGACTAAGCACCCATCCTTTTGCATTCAGAAACCTCCACCAAAGGGTGCTCTGAAACCAAAAGCAATGGCAAAGAAGGCTTCATCATCATCCTCAAGTGATTCAGATTCAGAAGCAAAAGCTCAAAACAAGGTTGCTTACATCTTTTAAATGTGAACAAAATTGTCTATAGTCTGCTCTCTAAACTCGCCTTGCCTTATGGAAAGCTCTACGTTCTTGTCATCTCTTTTAATTACAGAACATATCTGCAAAAACTACGCCAAAAAGCGCCGGCTCAGCAGCTGCTAAAAGGGCGGCCTCATCTTCAAGTTCGAGTGACTCAAGTTCTGGGGAAGAGAATATCAACAAAGTAAGTTACTCCAAGCGATGTCAGATATCATCTATTTCGCTGATCTCAGTCGTCTACCAAGGAAACCTCTACAAAGCAGAAATCTCAAACAGTAACGCCGTCGTCTAAGAAAGCTGCTACTCAAAGTGATTCTGATGCGGAAAATGTGAAGGCAAGCGCACCACACTTTATCGATAAAAAAATTTTGAGCATGAAAATGATATAGGGTAAACAGTCTGACAAACAAGATACCCAAATTGGGAAGCCGAACGGCACTGCAAAGACCTACCCAGTAAGTGGAGTTTGCAGCAATATTTCGAACGTGAAACTTGTGCCATATGCTTTAAAATTCATGTCAACTTTTACTTTTCATTCAATCGCTCATCTTCGAATTTTCTCATAGTTTTTCTTGACATCAGTTCAAAATGCAAATCTAGCGTTTAGCGTCAAAGGCTTGCCATCTTCGCATACATATTGTGAGCTATTTTAGAGAAAATCTAACGAGCCGTTTCGACGAGTAACAATCACAAAAGACTCTTTGAAGGACAAGTTCAAGGACAATTCATATAACCCCGTAAGTCTACAATATTTCATTTTTTATGACTACATTTGAAGTTTCACCTTTGTAGGGTAAGGTGCGACACATTCTTCATGTTTAAAGCCTTTTCTTCAAGCCCCAAACTTTGACTTCTGTCCCTTCCTCCGCGGAAAGCTCCGAAACTGCTCTTTTGTCATAATGATGCGCTTTTTCGCAAAACATCAGCCGAAAGTCCAAAAAAGGTAAAGGTCAAAACAAGTATGTAAGTTATTAGCGCTAAACCGAACGCAGAACTGAGGCGCGTACACCGCAACTAAAGCCTCCCTTTAGCTATTTTTTGCTTCATAATTTGTTGAGAAGTACACTGTCGCGTCCGCATAACCAACTGAATACTCACAAATTTTAGTGAACATTCTGAGGGATTTTTTTTTGCGCTGGGCATCAATAGAAAGTTTTTATCTGTTAAGGCAAATAGGGCCTTCATAAGCCTGGAAGTTCGCAGTTGTTGTGAGAATTTTTTTAAACATTCATCGCATTCTATTATGTCATGAAAGTGGTTTTTTCAATGATCATATCGTTCTATTTTGTAAGTTTTTTTTATTATAAAAAATTCAAAGCTAAATGTTACTTTTTCCATTGAATGGGAATCAGTGTAACCTGCATCGTTAAAAAGTTTTCTTCTATCTCATGGTTAAACATCAGTTCATTTTCAAATTTTGACACTGATGCTTTCTTTTAGTCTTTTGACCACTGGGGAGCGAAAGCACATGAAGCTCTAAGCAAAGTTCAAGGAAAAGGATTCCGACATGAAAAAACGAAAAAGAAGAAGGTGTGATTAATAATTTTATCTGGGGATCTTTCTTACCGGTGAGCAACTCATTTTCAGGGCAGTTACGGCGGAGGACCAATAAATACATCTGTGAACTCTATAAAATTTTCTGACAGTGATTAATTGCATTTAAGTGCTTTGTTTTATCTGCTGTTGTTTCCCTGTTACTTGAATTTGTGGATGTTATCTGTTACCATTTGTATAGGTTGACATATTACAAAGATTGATGGATATTAGTGGTTGTTGTTTCGTTTTGAATGTGACAGTCTGTGGCACTCCTTGTTGTGCTGAATATTCATACAGATAAATTGTTGCTGATACTTTGTTCCTGAAAGAAAAGTTATCTCTAAAATGTTACCTTCCGCAGTGGAAAGTTGAAAGTGATGTGGCACAATCAGTAACATCTGTAGAATGGGGAAAAGAGAAGCTGATGAAAGCCTTGCTGATGCATCAATGAATGAAAGTGCTGTTGTCGATGGGCCAACTACTGCAAAAGAAGAATACGAGTATCTGTGCACATTGGTATCTTAGATTTGCCTATTTCGAATCTTTAAATCTGGACAGACACCTTATATTGTCAATTTGAACACTACAGGTGAATGCAATATCTAAGCCTCTGGCTAACAGGAAACTAGCCAAAAAGTTGTATAAATTGGTGAAGAAGTCAGCCAAACATCCACATTACCTCCGTCAAGGTTTGAAGGATGTACAGAAAGCTTTGCGCAAGAATGAGAAGGGGATTGCTGTGTTAGCAGGTAACAGAGCTACTTTTCCTTTCTTGCTTCAGGTTAATCGAGGTGATATTGCAGGTAATGTGAGTCCTATAGATGTTTATTCACATATTCCCGCACTGTGCGAGGAATTAGAAATCCCTTATGCTTTCACTCCATCTCGAGAACAGCTGGGACTTGCCGCCGGCCATCGTAGACCTGCAATTTTGCTTCTTATAAGGCCACATCCCGATTACCAAGAGTTGTACGATGAGGTTGGTTTGAATCACTCATGCAAATATTTCCAGATATTAACTTTTTGCTTTCTCCAGGTACACGAGCTCGTCAACACCCTCGCCCCTGAATAAGAACTTGTTACCTTCAACGTTGTTGTTATAGTACATATGTCTGTTATGTTGATAAGTTGTTGATTTTTGCATATAGAAGCCTACTTGCTGACTGTTATTATCACGTCTTGTATGAAGAGTTAATAACGTTATAACGATTTACGCAAGAATAACACATGCCATTACGTCATGGACACAATGTGATAGATGTATTATGGGCTGAAAAGTGGTGCAGAATTGGGAGTATCAAAAGCGAGGAAATTGGTGATAGTGAAAGTCTTTGATTGAGACAGGTGTGAGTCAGTCTTTATGGCGCATGTCACTGTTTCCCGGGCACGTTTCTGGGGAAAATTGAAACGTATCTAGTTGCGAGTCATTTAATTGACTCTTGGAAAATTTTCATATCTTTTGCTCATGACCTTTCGTGAAACAGCCACATTGAAAATCTGCGAAAATCGCCAGCAGAAATACACTTTCGTTGAATATGACATGGCTAGAGATGTTGAGTACGTATAGACTGTCTCAATGAGAGTATCACAACCCCATCTGCTCGGCTTCTCGCTGCTGTCAAGCTCGGAATTTGCGACGCGTTTGTGAACACATCATCGGAACTGTTCTCACGCTGGGCAGATTGAAGGCGGGGATTACGATCGGAGTAGACGTTTGCTGTCGCGAGCGCTGAAGCGGCTGAAAAGCTGTGACATTCGCATTGAAACGACCTATATGCTTCAGGATTTCGTGCATAGACTGCAAAGGCGGACGGTGCACTTGGAGGGTTCACTGATACCATCACGATTTGACAAGAGTCGTCCTTTTTGCCGAGCCATTTTTTATGATAGCGTGCCAGTCCTTCTACTAAAGACTTGTGGATGCAAAAAAACAGAAAGCCTATCGGCGTCGTTCTTCCTCCATTCGTGGTGCTCCTCCGCGTCTCTGATCAGTGGCGCGCATGGCTGACATGTTGGTACACAACAACGTAATGGCTGTATTCGTCTCGTGGCCAACCTGTTGTTGTGTGCAAGTTGGCCATGCGCGGCGGCAGAGGCAGCGCGAATCGGCTCCACCCGGCTTGGACAGCTGATGCAAATCTGTATGTTTACAGTGTGTGGAGTTGTGTGCCTTATCGCAGATGTCCGCGAGGGGCCACCTCTCCACACGTGGTGTCGACATGATGTGGCAGCGTACCAGAGGAAATGACCCTTTACTTGCCTGCGTTTTGCTGCTCATACCGTCTTCGACCCCAGCGGATGGGAGACAGCCGGGCGCTTTTTTCGACTGTCACTAAGGCAGGCGCCAGACTTATTCGGTTCAGACAGTTCGTCTGGATCATTTCATTCGCTATTGGTCAAATCACTGAATTGACCAATAGCAAATGGGTGAACCGGTTGGACCGGGTAAGGTAGATATGGCGCCTATCTAGAAAAGCTAGAAGAAAATGGGCCCTTAATTAACTGACGATATGGATATATTTATGAAGAGAATATAGGGTTAAGCTTCACAATCATGTGTATATCTGCGCAAGCGATGCTTTTTCCCAAAATCTTTGCAGCATCCACCCGTACGGTTGTTGAACAGCCAGAAAGCTTTGATCTATTGATTCGTTTGATCAACACATTCTCCGCTCGGAATAAAACTACGCGCTTTGATGATACTATTGCTATAGCGTCTTTCAGTTCAATGAAGTCGTTCCTTGGCTAGACGTCTTAATTATCTTCTACATCCATACATCCAATTCAGAGGAAAAGTAGAGCTATTGAAGGCAGCGCCCGGGCAGATACGAGAATGTAGAGCACAGGGGCGCCCGTCCTGGTAAGGCTCTTGCCCAACTGGCAATGCACCAGTTTGCTTCTGAAGCGAGTCCGCTTTAAGTGGCGACCGGAACGCGACCGAGACGAGTTAGTTCGTAGGCCAGGGTGCGCAGGAGGAATAAGCCCAGATAAGCGAAGAAAATTCCATTCGAAAATTTTGCCTGGACGCTGCCTTTAAATGACAGTTGGCTCTATTATTGCTTGAGGAACGGAGAAAAAAGTCCTTTTCAGCAAGCGCCTTACTTATCTTAATCTACTTGATCCCTTGATCTACCTCGTCATTGGTCAATTCAGTAAAATGGCCACCAGTGAAGTGGATGAAGTGGATCAAGTCAAGCGGATGAAGTGGACGACCGTTTCGCTATTGGTCAGTTCACTGAATTGACCAATGACGAAGCGGATCAAACGGATCAAGTGAAGCGGGTCAAGTATGACGCGTGCCTTATGTGACACTAAAGGACATCGTGTTTTGTTCCGAATCGGTTGAAGTGGATGAAGAGGATAAGTATGACGCCTGCTCTGATTGTCCACTCTATTTGCCTTCGAGTCGTCAGAGGAAGATGATGAGACCATTGATAATTGAGTCTATAGTTTAGATATTTCCGTTGCTGCTTTACTGCTCCGAGTCGTCAGGCTGTTAATACTACACTAATCCTTATCCAGGAGCAAACATACCAGCTTCCAGGTGATACTCCTTTTTTATCGTTTTTGTCTCGTTATTGCCGCTGTACCTCCCAAATATCACTGATTGAAATGCAAAAATTTTGGGTGGAGGACATTAGGTCGCCGAAAAAGGGCGGTCCCCGCGGTCATTTGCGACAAATACGCACCCTTGTACATGCGCGGACATGCGTTCCTGCAGGGAATCCGCGCGGGACTCTTCCAAATTCGGCGACCTAATGTCCTCCACCCAAAAATTTTGTGGGGACGAGAAGATCCAGTGTAAATGTTCCCATTTTGGGTCGAATTTCGGTCAAATCTTTAGCAAAACTGAGTTTTTATGCTATGCAGGTGCAGGTTAGACAAAGATTGTGTCACCTGGCAGCACTTAGTGTAGGCCTGGGTCACATCTTAGATATAAAGCTGAATGTCTGTTTGTATGTATGTCTGTCTGTCTGTCTGTATGTCTGTATGTGTGTACGTATGTTCCGAATAGAAAATTCCACTTCTGAACCGATCCGGACCAAACTTGGCACACATACACTTCGGGCTCCGGCGGGTGTCATAGGCTACTTTTCGTCATCGATCGATATCGATTTTATCGATTTTTTGCAAAATTTGAGCTACGGGGCTGGGAGTTGGCACAGGGGGTAATCGAGCATGCTGATCACCCTCGTGGGGATGATCAGCATGCTCGACTACACCCCTCTGCCAAATTCCAGCCCCCTAGCTCAAATTTTGCAAAAAATCGATAAAATCGATATCGATCGATGACGAAAAGTAGCCTATGACACCCGCCGGAGCCCGAAGTGTATGTGTGCCAAGTTTGGTCCGGATCGGTTAAGAAAAGGAATTTTCTATTCGGAACATACGGCGGAGCCGGGTAAGCCAGCTAGTCTAACATAAATTAGCAGGTGTCAGCTAGCTTATGCAAACCCGCGCGTTTACATCTATAAATGTCCCTTATCTAATCCACAGATGCTGGTATCCCTGCTCCGCGCGTCTCTGACCCCGGTCACGCATGGTTACAGAATCTTTCAATTGAGTGTCAATCGACGTGGCTCAGGTCCTCGCGAGCCGCCTCACTTGGGTCTCCTATGTGGCACAACACGCATCCGCTAAGGCCTTTGCGGCATCAATCTCAACCCTGTAAACCGCGTGGCGACTGAAAATGCGCTATGTACAGTCCTCTCCAACTCGGAGTAGACGAAAATCCAAGTGGAGCAGCGCGTCCGCACCACCACTGATTCAGCGAGATAGATTAGAATGAAGAGACGCAGACTACAAGGCGGTGCGAGTCATTGCGAAGCGACTCCCGCCAGTCCAATTTCCGCCTAAACCGAGTTGAAACTTACTATATACCCGGTGCTTATCATGGACTTCCCGAGAAAATTGGATTTGAAAAAGTTCAAAAAATGCGTTAAAAAAGATGTACAAATCGACTGAATTAGACTCTAACTTAATTCAGTTTCCAGAAGTTGTTCAATGTTAAATTTTAGAGAAGATATTGAATTGCTTCATAGGCTCGTAGCGTAGAAATGCATTAACTGCAAATTGTATTTGCAAAATGACAGCTTTACTTAAACTCAGTGAATAATGTATTGTCGACTCGTTGACCGCACGGACTGAACACCGCTGCGGAGCACGCGCCGCGAGGTAAAACGCTTTCCCCAATACAAATTCACCATTGTGCAAGTCGTGCTCTTGCAACATTTCAGCCGCGCCGCGCATGGTCCGCAGTATAGTCAGAGTTCGTGCTCGAATAATTTATTTGAAATATTCGATCATTCGAATATTCGAATAGTCGAATAAATGAAAAAGGCCTGTATTCGAATAATTCGTTCATTCGATGATTTGGAAAAATGAGTTATTCGAATATTCGTATATTCGAAGAATTCAAAACAGTCATTCGAATATTCGAATATTTAAGAACATTCATTGTCAAAAAAGAATGGATGTCAAAAAAAAAATTTCAGCTGTTCTACACTGAGCACAAGTATGTGCCCGATTGGTCAGTTATACAAATAAATTATCATATCACAGAATGGCTATCAAGCTTCCCTTTTTAATGCATGAGTCGCGAGTCATGCCAGAGTGATGACAAGTCTTAGGCATAATTCATTTGGAGTGCTGACTATCTTCTGGAAATCGCATCTGCGAAGTTGGGATGCGATATCATGCGGAACCTCCAATCCAGGGCCCGGCACAGATGGTTTGGGGTCAAACTGGACTTCGTTTTTGGAGTTGGAGACAACGGGGATATCGTTTTTATAAGGTCCTGGAGGAAGCGCCAAAAACAACGACGAACACGTCAGGTTTCACAAGTTGAACGTGTTCTTTCGCAAGCGCGCGAATTTCAAACGCAGTACTCAAACAAACAAATGGCTTGTTTATAGCGCACAAACAATCACATGGTTCCAAATTTGGGATATTTGTATACAATATTACTTCAAACTATGTTATGTAAAAAGTTCCAAAAACTTATGTGTCCTAATATGCGTTCCCAATTTTGTTGGTTTCTAGACCAACCACCAAACCAACTGGGTTGGTTCGGAGCATAAATATCGGAGAGTTTACATAAGTTTTGGATCTTTTTGATTTGGACGATTAGAACGGTCAAAATCCTATCATATAGTGAAGAGAGCGAATCAAACCACTGCCTCTCCTCTTTTTTCGAGCCAAAAG